AACTATTAGGCACATGCAGTTTAGCAGAAAAAACACATTCATTTGTTTTAAAGGAAAATGGTCTACGTTTGGCTTTTCGGCCTTAAATTTGCTACACAGATGTAAGATAAGATTTTAGCTAAGGAGAACTATGACGGTCCTTATAACTTATAATATTGTGAACCCATATCGATTCATTGCGTGAGACAGTTACCCTTATTAAGCAATGAAATTAATTAACTAAAAAGTTTTAGAAGAATGTGTAAAATAATTGAAAGTAAAAGCTTCCAAGCTACAAACAAAATCTTACCTTGTGAATATAGATGAATGAGATGTGATATCTCTAAAGTATATTTTACTATACAAAAGGTATCCTTAATTCTTCTATTATCAAATCAAGGACGTTTATATTAAATTTTGAACATTTGATATTTGAAAAAAAAAAAACAGGCATGAACTTCTGCATTTTTAGATATGGCTTTAATATCTCCTTTAAGACGGCCTTCTTTATTTAAAGAGAACGATTTTATTTGATACGAATTGGGACAATTCACAGAGATCATTGTAAATAAAAAGCTTAAGTATATAAAAAGGGAAGTTTTAGCGGCGTGTTATATTACATTCAAAGATACTTGCCATAAAAAATAACAGGGGGAAGTTTTTCGCCTTTCTACCTGAATGAGAAAAGAAATGATTAAATATATCAAAGTGGATTCATTATTAATGTCAAAGTTACTTAGACAAGCAAATTCAAAGAACTATGGTGTCTTAGTGGATGGGATGCCATTATTTATAGCATATTGTAACTGCCTTGTGTGTGTGTCTAGTCTTGTCATTATGCAAAAAAAACCAAAAACAAACAAACATGAACTATTGAATTTATAACAGTTATGGCAAAGATTATAGCTTCTCAAAACTACATCTAACTTCAAGATCAAAGACATGAGGTCAAATATCATAATTAAATCCGAAAAATCTTGTCACAAGTAATGCATATGTGAAAAAAATATCAAAAACCAGAGTATACAATCGGAAAGGTCTTAAAACAAATGTCAAATCTTCATTCCATGAAAAGTTATTAGCAATGTTAATTTTTTTCAAGTAGGTCAAACTTGAAGGTCAAAGTCATGGGATTAAAAAATTATAGTACATTTGGAAATGCTTGTCACAGGTAATGCACATGTCAAATATTAATGCCCAACTTTCGCTCCTTCAATAGTTTGCAACACTGATGAAATGTATGAAAAATAGGCAAACGGGGTCGAATATCGAAGCATATTCGGCAATATTTTGACATAGGTAATGCACTTGTCAATTAGGAGAGCCTTATTATATGTCAGTCAAAAATAATCATCAAATTTAAGGTCAAGGGGTCAAAAATCAGAGCATGCTCAGAAACACCTTCTCACTGGTAATGTACATGTCAAATATGAAAGCCCTATATATTCTCAAACAAAAGCTGTAAGCAACGATAAAATTTTGAAAATTAGGTCAAACTTCAAGGTCAGGGTAACGGGGTAAAACATCATAGTATATTTGGAAAGGTCTTGTCACAGGTAATGTTCATGTGAAATATGAAAGCCCTATCTTCTCTCCTTCAAAAGGTATGACCAAGGTTAAGGATTTTGTGACGGACAGACTGACAGACAGACGAATGAGATTTTAAGTCCCCTCGCTTTCGCGAAAGTGGGGGACAATAATCTTTTCCTACATGTAAGTCTTCTAAAATGAACGCATATGCTAAACAAAAAAATAATGTTATTTAAGCTATATATTGCTTTTATATCTACAATAAAGGTACAATAGACCTTCTTCTATGTCTCATAATGTTGGACATGGATATTTTTTTACAGCAATGTTGCAGATTTTTAGTCAACAATAAATTTTCGGACAGTTAAGTGATTTTTTATATTTATACGAATTTCAACACCTATAACCCCGGATCAATTTTATATGAATATAACAATGTTCGACGAGATGTCCTTCTTCCTTATAATGAAACAAAAGGTTAAGGTTTGCAAAATAATCGTCCAAATTCAACTTCTGTCCTTAAGATTAAATCAAGAGGAGAAATATTAACACTTGTCATAAAAAAGATTATTATCATCTTGGAAACTGGTTAAGTATTATTGAGTTTGTTTGAAGCCAGACAGCAACAATGAATAATATTGAAGAGAATTGTAGATTCAAAAGATCCTTCAAAAGAAATGGCTTGAGTGACTATTATCAAAGAGAGTTATCTATATATAATAACCATAGCAAACCTTATGATAAGTGCTCTATACTATAGATCATTAGATCATATTGAGAATTTATTTTAAGTTAGCATTGCTTCTTATGTAATTAACTTCAAACGACAGATCATTAATATTACTTAATGTAATTATGTCATGCATCAGCAAATATAGATTATTTCCTATCTTTCCTGGTCACCCTTCATATTCATATTTGAGTATCTACCGATGGATAATTTTTTTGATAGCCTCAAAATCATTCAAGTGACAGTTCATCATGCAGTATTGCACTCGAAAGTTAAAAAGAATCTTTAAAGGAAACAGCAAATTGAAATTACACCAGAAATTATAATAAATGTAATATGGTCAGGAAGATTTTTTTGAGTGGCCCTCAGATAACGAAAACAAATTTTGAATTCCTCAGACTATCAAGAGACTAGCGTACAAATTTTGCAAAATTTAGGGGTTTAAAAGATTATTTAAAAATTGAAACTGATTTTTTAAAAGTCTCAGCATCTTCACATTTATACCCTATATATTTTCCCGATCATTGATGTATAAATCATAATAGAGGTTAAAAATTTAAAATATAGCATTTTTGAGCCTTTTATGTACATCATTTTCGTCCTTTGTATGACAAACACTAAACGTCGATATTGTCATTAAATCATTGTATGCCACAGGAAGAATATTTTCATCAATTGCATTATCTAGCCACATATACAAATACCACTCATTTTTCAAAAGGGTCAGAATTATGTTCTCTATAACTAAAATAATATCGCTATAAATAAATCACGGTTGTGTATAAAAGAACATTTTTTTATATACAGTCAGTTGCATGAATGCAATCTAATATATTTATGAAATCGCATTATTGTAAACAACAAATATATATTATTAGAATTTATTGCTGAACATCCATCAAATCTATGCAAAAATAAACAGAATTATAATAAAACTTTAAATGAACTGTTGGAAAAGAAGCACATTCATGGATAACTTTCATAAAACAAATCCCAAGAAGTGTTGAAACGCCTATTAAAGATTTATAATTCTCTACATGCAAATGATAAAATCTATGTCGCAAAGATCTAGTCACCGAATTTCACTGCTTTGAACGTTTGTATTGCAGTGACAATTGATTCCGTATTTAACAGAGGTTAAAAAGTCTCCCACATTTTTTTAAGAACCTCCCTCTTTCCGAAAATACATCTTTCTTTAATAGATGAACAGAAAGATGCTATATGCAGAGATACTTTAAAATCAACATAGGTATTTACATTTTCTGGTCCTAACCAGTACAATTTTTTTATAAAACATGATAAAAATAAATATTTCACATTTTCCTTAATTTGCTTTGACAAAATATTTTTAACATGTATTCCATTGTTAATGCCTGCATGTATATAAGAGGACAAAATGACGGACACCTGTTTCTGCTCTGTTCACGATTCGTACTTTTTACGGGATTTATAAAACTGATCACTGTTCGTTGTGAATTGAAGTTTAAGAATAAGAAGCGTCTCATTTGAAGAGGTATTCTTAAATTTAGTTTAAGGATAAATAACAAAAAACAATTTTCGTCAAAAATTCAAATATCTTGCCGCTCTCATTAAATAACTGATATCTCTTAAGTAAAACAAGGCAATATTCGACAAACCTTATAAGAACCACGCACGCTAACTCTCGACACCTGCCTACATTTTACACCCATTTAATTTAATATAAATGGCAATTTGGTCATTAAAACTTGATTGAATGCAAAGAAGAGCTCATTATAATTGATTAATAATATTGAAACCAGTGTCAAAAACTTAATTGCTCTTTGTTACGTCTCCTTTCAGAAGGGGGATTAAAAAATTTATCCACTAAATTCAGGCTTTAAAAATCGCTAGATTTTCGAAAACACATGGAAATGGATAAATGGTCCTTAAAATTTTCCGTATGTTTATGTAAAATTTAACATAAAATATTGATTACAGATCTTATTTTATTTGTAATCTCATTTGAAAATGGTAATAAAATGACCATTTTTTCAGTTATTTGTCTGTAAACGTCCCCCCCCCCCCCCCCCCAGTGAAACAACAAAAGCTTTGGTATGAATTTGTGGAATAACAATTCATAAAACCCTTAAAAATGAATTTCTGTTTCGCGGGGAGGGGGGATGTTTTAAAAATATTCCCCTTCTTTTCCGTTGATTTCTATAGTAAAAAACGAAATTTTTGCAAAACTTAAGGAGTTATCTCCCTTTGTTTTCCCAAAAAGGTAATGTTTTATGAAAATTCACATAAATATCTATATAAATATCAAAAAAATCATTTAAATACGTTAACTTTTGAAATTTGACTTGGAGGTAGGCGGCAGAACAATACTATCGTTCGCAGTTCTTCGGTGAAAATTGGGGAAATGAAACACCTATATAATTTTGGAAAAGTTTAGGGATAGTATGATGTTATTTTAGTGTTATCTTTCTGAGAACATTTCAAAATTCTATTTTTACATATTAGACAATTAAAGTTTCCTACTTAGATTTGAAATACTAAATAAATATTTTTACATAAAATAGCAATCCACGGTACTCTTCTGTGTCGGGGATAAGAAATGAGTTTATAATATATTTCTATAATGGACAGTAAAATCAGCGAATTGCATAGATACATGTTAAGTAGCCTTGTACTGACATCAACACAAATTTATCATGAGAAGAAATAGATAAGGATTTATATTTGTTACTACACATCACTTTCCCACAAAAACACTGGAATCCTTTATTCCATCTTTTATACACTGTACTTAAAAATCAGACTTAAAGTAATTAACACTTTCTTTACAGACTGCCATTATTGGTTGCAGTAAATATTTTCCTCAGATGAGTCCTCTTGTGCCCGAATGTAATCCAACACGACATCGTAAACCATTCTGTACTCCTCCTAAAACATAACATCATACAGAACATTTTATTATTTTCCTTCAATTTTCATTGCACATAGTAGTCAGACAGAGAAAATGAGAATTGTACTCTGATGTTTTAATATGAATTGATGGAAAATTACCACGGTGGAGCACAGTTCTGGTCGATGTATCTGTAACATACGGACAGTAGAGAAAATATCCACCTCTCCGTCCATAGACAACTGTTGTATCACATTATATACAGCACAGAACACTCCACAAAGGGCAGCGCCATCACTAATAATTAAAATTAATATCCACAACTGAACAAACTTGGGATTGTTGTTTCAGATTCAACTGGGAATAGTGAAATCGTATGTAATTTTTGTATGCATCCTAGTATCACTGGCAATTTAAACCCTCAAGTGTATAGGGTTAATGCTTTAAACTGAAAGGGATGATGAAAACTACTTGAATATCTTTATTCTCTGAGCCCTTTCAGTTATTTCTAATCTAAATGACCAATATTAATTTCAGCATTTTTAAACACTACTGATCATTTTAGAATGATGTATGCCTATATATAAAATAGTGTTTAATATTTTTTCAAATGAACTTTGTTTCTTAGAAGGTCACTCCGTTTTATGTTCATCAGAAATTTAAATATCTACAGCAAGCAACGAATAGATACAGGCTTTGAAAAATATATACACGATTTTTTTCCATCTAGACAACTATTAATTATATCAAAGTCATCAAGTGAAGATATGATTATGATGCTATTTTTGTTGATTGTTTGTCGGGGCTTATACAGGTATTAAACGGAGCACAAGTACATATTTTATATCTCTGGAAACATGACAATATTTGATTGAAGGGGGGGGGGTATTTAGTTTCAGTAATATTTAATTCATTAGGATGAGGACTTCATTTATCAGATAAGTTTATCTAAAACTTAGTTTTACCAGAAATAAACTCCTTGAGTAGTCTCAGAGGAGCTTGATTTAAATTACCTGCTGACTATCGTTATAGGGCCTTCTGTTTCACTCTGAAGAACAAATGAAACCAAACGTAACATCTGCGCTGTCACCTGGGAACGATCTGTTGTTTGAAAGTTTTCCTTTGGCTCTATAACCGATACCAAACAACTCTCGTTATTTTCCTGAAGAAATTATGTGGAAAAAGTAAGCTTTATTAGGAAAGTTAACAGATATTCTTATTATTAATCTGCTTCTTTTAGCTAAAAAAAAATAGGAAAGTGCATGTACATGTATTACGAATTGACAAATGAGGTTAAGTAATCAGGTGTAGTAATCACATATACCACATATGCAATTAATAAACAACATTTTATGCAATATATCAGTCATGAAACATTAAAAATGAACATTGACCAAAAATACTACTTACTCCATTCTGAATGATGTTGATTATGGTGCATTTCATTTCAGTGACTTTCTCTTGCTCGCAGTGTACAGTAAAGAAGGATAAAGCTTTTGAATTGTTGGTAGATGGCAACCATTTCTGTGTCTAAATTACATAATGAACTTATAAAATTTTCAATTGGAGTTCTTTAAAAAACACAGTTCATGAACATAAACAGAACAAGACTTCAAATCCACCTACTGACTCAACCTCTCTCAAAGGATCCATACAAATCACCGTTTCTGACGCATGGTCAGTGAGCAGGCGCAGGAAGTCCACAGCGTCCTCTGGTGACGGATAATGAGTTATTATAAATCCATTGTTCTTGGTGTAAGACTGAGATAAAAGGTATAAAATTCAAAGGCAATTTCTTTGGGAAAAGTTCAGAGTCTGCATGGAATTAAAATCATCAAAATATTAATATTGCCAAGTTGAAAGCAAAAATTAGAAGATCCTTATCTTGTTGATTAAGTATAATTTTTAAAAATCTCTTTTGATTTAGAATCAACCTTACTTGCAATATCCATTTTATCACGTTCTTTATGTAGTTTTATAAAAACAAACTAATTGAGCAAGAGACATGATCTAATAAAAATAGTTACGTACAGGTAGTGAAACCGCATTGATGTAATTGCGTCGCTTTGGTATATTTGAAGACAGAAAAAGGCTGTACTTGTCAACTAAAACAAGAAATCCTCACTTTATACACCTTACTGTAAACTATGCCTTTAGACTTCAAATGACAAAAAGGTATTTAAATGCTGTTGAGGTTGAGCAAAATATATGTCGTGGAATTTATTAGATTGTATGCTAAGACAATTCACTTTATAACAATGTCATAAAGTACTTAAGTGTAAAACCAAACCAAAGAACATGAATGAATAGCACTCATAAGATCAGGCTCCGGGGCCATAAAACTAAGACAAGCTCACTTTTGATCTCAGTTTCACTTTTACAAAAGGAGTTAATAGTGAAAAAGTAAGACTGCGATCAAAAGTTAGCTCGTCTAAGTTTTTTGGCCCCGAAGCCAGGTAAGGTTTTTGGTATGAAGGAAACTTTAAGTTAGCAAATAAAGTGCTTACGGTGAATAGGCCACAAGAACATTTTGTACATAAATGAAGTTAATAAATATAATCTGATGTTATTGTAATATTATTTCATAATCAATGTAAAACATAAGAAAGTGACCTCTTGAAGATAGAGACAAAACAAAGGTGAATCTTATGGTAAGGAAGGTTTTTTTAAATTATATATGTGACACAAACTGCTTGATAGACATTAGCAAGAATCTCTCAGTGAAGTTGCATAGTAAAATTATATTTCGTTAAATAAGGCACAACGTTATTAAGAAAGAAGAAATATAAGGCGAACGAATCATTATCCGTTTGCACAATGGCAGACTGATTAGCGAGAACCCTTATATCTATAAGCAGTAAATTAACAGTCATTTTTAATTTAAATCGATTAGCTTACGTGGAAGAACAGAAGATATACTTTCCCCGCTCTGTAACGCCAGCTTATAGTCGGCTTCTGTGTATGACGGTCGAACTCTTAGTAGATTCTAAAAAGAAGTTTTTTCGCCATGGTTGAATTATACACAAAAAATGAGTTTATGATATTAAGCAAAGTATGGACCTTCAGCAAATTGGGATAATTACATTAACATAAAACAGGTATCTTTATAAGATTATGTAAGGTATTTAAAAACAGAGATTTACATTATGATTTCTTGATACCAACCCTTCCCTAAGTCAATTCTCTGATGTTTAATATTACCTGGAACTCCTTTCTTAGTTCACTTTCATTGGCTGGTTTATCACGTGTCATTAACTCTGCTTTCCTTAAGAATTCAAGTTTGGTTTGTACACAGGTTGGAGATTTGAACATAGCGTCAAGTGCCAGAAATATAGTAATATACTGCTCCTAAAAGATTCAAAAACAGCTCTGCGTAGCATGTTTATAATTCTAGTATGCTTAATATTTTTGTATGAATGATTGAGACCCTTTCCTTTTCGATAAATTACCATCTGGCAATAAAATCTAGTTCTTTCATTTCCTATTCTCTTAGGTATGAATTCTTTATCAAAATGATGGAATAACAAATAATTGTGAGCGGAGGGGAAATACTGATATTAAACGTGACTGCTACCAAATTTTGTAACTTTATGACTTAATATTGTAACTGTATGTAATTCACTTGCAATTTGCCAAAAATGGATATTATATGCTTACTAACGCAAGCTTACTCACATAAGTCTGGACCATGTTCATTCTATTTTCCCTCATTTTCTTGACGTATTCCGCAATGTTGACTTTCCTCTCTGTTTTGCCTTCCTTATATAAAGCGTCAATAGCGATATATGTCCCTGTACGTCCGATACCAGCACTAGAATTATCAAAAGAACTTTGAAAAAAAAATTAAAAACTCTTTTAAAGTTAATTAAATCTTTATAAAATGTAAGATAAATACAGCCAACATATCATTTAATATAAATGGTTTTGATATACTTTAGTAGTTTTCATTCGTTTTTGTTTTTTGTTTTGTTTTTGTTTATTTTTTATTTTTGTTTGTTTGTTTGTTTGTTTTGGCAACAAATGTTTAGGTTTAGGTGTTTCCCCATGTAAATGAATAAAAGGAAAAAGCTGAAAATAATTTTGTATATGCTTAAAATCAAGTTCATATGTCAATTATTAAATTTCTATAATGACGTTTGAGTACTGTGAAGCACGATAGTATTAAATTTTATATAGTTCATGAGTAATCATATTTTTCAAACCTGCAGTGTACTAATGTTGGGCCACCATTTTGGTTATCTTTTGTCCTTGTTACCTGGTCATGGAAAACTACAAGACAGAGCGGTTCCGGAGTCCCGTGATCCGGCCAGGCTGTGTAGTGATACTGCGTTACCAGGCGAGATTTTTTTAGCTGATGCTTAGAAAATACAATTTTCTTATGGAATAAGTATTTCGAGTGCACATACGTTCAATTAAACAGAAATCCAGTTTAGATATAGAAAAAAAATTATGTAGAATTATGAATATTTCTTGTGATAATTTGTTACTATTTAAAACAAAATGGTTGAAAGGAAAGATTTATTCATCAGACAAGTAAACGGTTGTTGTTTGGAGTACATGTGATCGTCTTTAAATGTGCTCTCAGTACTAATGAATAATAGTTTCCTTTATTAAAATTAGAATTAGTACTTTTTATAAAACCGAATCGGATTCAGCATGAACAGAGCGATGTTTAAGATAATAGTTTGCAGACTAATATGCATTAAACTGCCTTTCATTATAGAGGCAGTTTGTCCCCTTATCTCATACAGAAATAATCCCCAAAACTAATATTTGTCGTAACCTTTTTTCAAATAAATTTTGGAAACTTTGCATATAAACTAAAACTCATATTTCTATTTTCAAAAAAGAACAATTCAAAACATAATTTTATGACTCACCCCTTTGTAGGTTACCCTAAATTTCCTGATTTTATAACTGGCATAGCTTTGCTCTTCTTCCGTGCATAGTGATATCAAACCAAAGGCATTAGATTGATTCAAATCTGACCAGTACTTGGTGCATTTTATCTGTTAGGTAAAAGAAGGTTATCTTAGATTAAAGCGTCACAAATCTCGAAATTTTCACTCAGGTTTCTAATTGACATTGAATTTCGATATCTACTATTGCAAAGCGAAGTACATGTAATCCAAAGATAACATACACATTTTAGTATATGTATGCCATTTTATGCATTTAATGTATCAGATTCCCATATCACTCTCTGTAACTTTTCAAATTAAAATCAAATTACTTTGTTCCCTTCTTTGAGGTTGGTAAGCATAACTATTTGCGCAACATTCTCCTGCCAAATCATGGACCAGAAATCTGTCAGTGTGTTTTGACGAGGTCCTGTGTCAGAGAGAAAAAAAGAAATATGTATGAAATTGAAACAGGATTCTATTTGCCGTCATGTGTTCTTATAGTTTCTTAATATAGTACATGTAACAATGAAGGGAAAGAAGATATTGTACCTTGTGCTGCAATATATTCATCTGGCTTTTTTGTACCCTGAAAAAAGGTATCATTATATAGAAAATTTACATAGAATTGCACCCTAAGACATATCCCAATTCAGGTGTACATGATGTGACACATATAGAGGTAAATTTATAATTGATAATAAAATCTGGATTTTTTTTTGCATGCGGATAAAATAATTATTGCAGTTTATGTCTTATCTTTTCACAATAAAATTATTTGCAAATTAAGAAGAGAAATATAGTTACTTTTGTTATTTTTGTGCAATGCAAAATGATATGTACAGACCGCCATTATATGACCATAATTAAAGTTATCCGATCCTCTGTGGTTAAGTAATTAAACATGCTCACAAAATGTCTCTGAATTCACAAAGTAATATGTATTTACCCATGGTATCTCCTCAAAGTTCATCATTGCAGTTAATCATATATATTTTAGGATAACAAAATTACACTTTACAGGTATCAAGGCATTCGGAGAAAACTGTATTGTTGTAAATGTACTGTATTTTAGTTTTTCTAGTTGCTTCAATTTTTGTAAAATACATGGGGTAAAAAGCATATGCTATCATTGCAAGACATCAAAAATCACTTCAACTTTTTTTTTACAAGAAATAAGCACTGGTACCTAAGCCTATATTAAAGGAAATTCAATTTCTCTAAAAATGTTTTGGGGTACAAATTCAATTTTTAAAAAGACCGTTTATTAGACCTTAAAGAACAGTGATTCATATTAAGATGCATGAAATGAGAATTGTTGCAACAAAAAACTTCACCTTCAAACTAATTTTGAGAAATCCAGTGAGAATTTTAAGACTTATCGTTCCTGGAGGAGGAGGGGATATCCTTGAAGACCATCCTTTCAAATACATACCTCAATAAAATTGGCATTAATGTAGTCTGACTGGCTGTTGGACAGTTTGACTCTGGAATGATCGTCTGAAAGTATCAATTTTCATTTGTTAAAAATTAAGCACAATAGATAACATATTTAGATTGCAAGACATTAAAGTTTGCGTGCCTTTGCAACATTGAATAATTCTCAAGCATAATAAGAAATTACATTGATCTTATCTGTAATACCTTTGTCAAAGAAAAATGATCATTTGGAAAAAAAAAATGTGTAATTTACAGTCGTTTTATTTTATCAATATGAAATTTTCGCAAGATTGATTTATTGATTGCTGTTGTTTAACGTCCCGTTCGAGAATTTTTCACTCATATAGAGACGTCACCATATACCGGTGAAGGTCTTCAAATTTAAGACCTTTACTCGGCACTCAGGGCCATTGAGCAGTGAGGGTTCTTTATCGTGCCAACGCCTACCGTGACACGGGGCCTCGGTTTCTAAGGTCTCATCTGAAAGACCCGCAACTTTCACTTCAACATGCCGAGAGCTTGGCGAAGGAACAGTTGCTACCTATTTTTTATTGACTTAGGTCAGTCGCGGCCGTGATTCGAACACACGACCTTCCCATCACGGAGCGAGCACTCTACCGACTAAGCTACCGTGACGGTAATTTTTGCAAGAAGATTCTGAACGTACATGGAAATGTTGTCTTGAATCTGTTCTTTGGTACATTTTCTGGTTGTTTTCCAGCGTCGCAAGGGTACTTCTCACCATAAGGCATGGCCTATTATACAAATCAAATACTTTAATCAAAATAAAATGTCTCTTCAAGATTTAGAAATTTTTACACAAAAATTTCCTTACCGCATACTCTCTTTTGAAGCCATCATCTTCATTTTTTCGTTTTTCCTTAATAGTACTTTCTAAATCTTCGATATTTATATCTGGGATAGTTTTTTCATTTATATAGAAATCTCCGTATGGATTTTCGTCATGTAATTTCTCATCATTATCAATGTCATCGTCGCGCTCATTGTTTCTTGTTTTCGGTTCTTTGCTGTGCTTATTGGAAATAACGTTAGAGTCCTTCTTCTCCTTGAAATATGACGTTCCCTCCATATTCTCATAAATATTTCTTAAACCTTCGTTTACTGTTTTTGAGGGTGCTTAAATTAACAAAAATGCGTATTACAGTAAATGAAATTGAATTCAATTATGTTGTTAAATGTCAAAATCAAGTGTAATTAAAGATGTTTTTCCCCGGTATTTAACAGGATATCTTAAATTTCTTAATTTAAATATTTCATTTTAATTGAACTCTGTTCGAGACTGACGTATTCGTGATAGGAAAACCCTGTGAAATTTGACTTACTATTAATATCAGATAGGTTTGTTTCTGCACTCATCGTTCTTTTGTCTGCATTACTGGCTTTCAATGTCTGTGTTCTGAAAGTACATATTCTACACTTATGCATACTGTAAAATCACATATTTTCGAGGGTGTCAAATTTTCGAAGTTTGAGGTAAATATATTGGTTTGTGTGGATTTGATTTCGAGGTTTGAGAAGTGTTCAGTAGTTATGTATATGAAATTGTACAATTCGTGGTGATCATGAATTCGTTGGTCGCTTCATACCTCGAAAACATTAACCCACATGAAAATTAGCGATTTCACAGTGAACAGTTCTACTATTGTATAAAGCACAAAGTATAAAATAGTAGCCTCAGAAACTTTTTTATGTTGTAAAAACAGGTTCGTCGTATGACCATAAATTGATTGTTTAGTCGTAAATAATCTACGTAATTTCATAGTGACGTCATAATTGATCGTCGCTTTCAATAAATTCAATTTATAACCGTTGAAGTTTGAAAAAAAGAAATCAGTTTATGGGTTTAAAACTTTAGGACCCAAATATTCGTAATAAATCTGTCAGAAATGTTAATATAGGTAATAAACTTTTATCGGGATGTAAATAAGGGTTGGCACGTGATCGACGTGTGTGGGATTTGATCACATGATCAACTCGTATTTAAATCCCGATAAAAGTTTTAAAATGATACCTTATTTCTTAATTAACGAAATTTTTTAAACAATGTTCTGCGTTGCGAAGTATGTACATGGCAAACTTAATTGGAAAACTTATATTCATATAATTTTTTTTAATAAAGTTTCTAAATTTCCAATAAGTCAAAAAAACAATTATATTCTTATTTATTATTTTCCCACTAAATTAGTTTGAAAAAAAGTCGTAATTTAATAAAAATTGATAAAGCACCCGTGATATAGGGCCCTTCCAGTAAAAGCTCCAGTGAGTAGATAGATGGTCTAATTGTGTCAGTTCTCAATCAACTGATCTTTGCTGATCTTAAAAATAAATATATCAAATAGATTTTGAGGAGAAAATAGTGACTGTTACGTCGACGATATTTCTTTAATAATTCTTTAATAATACACCTTCAATCTTCCATGTGTAAACCTCAAGCAGAGAAAAATAACCCAGTAGCGAGGAAACAAAGACGAATTCAATGACAAATCGAGACATTCACAATAAATAGAATGATTTCTTCCATTTGGACTAATTATTGTCCTATCTGAGTTTGAGTAATACAAGTTCCCCTTCATTTTGTATTTTAATATTTGATATTCACAGAAATTCTTTAAATCCATTGTCTGTTCAAGTAGTGAATATCATGAACTAGAAATTTTACTTCTTCAATGGCACTGTAGGCCATTACGTTGTTAGAAATTAATTTCTTGAAAGATTCTTTTTCCTTAAAAATAATTTTTGTAGAAAAAATCGTGGTTTGGGCATAACGTTCTGAATGGATACAAACCCCTCTCATTTGCAATAAAAACGACGCTTTTTTCCTTCCCAAGAGTCTAAGGAATGGAAGCAAAATCATTCCTTAATCCATACACCGCAAATTACACAACACTTACTGTCAATAGCTGTATTATCACTAATTAATCATCAAGATATTCAAAATCGAAGTTTGACTCGTCGAAACATATTTATTATATTCAATTTTTAACGGAATTTTCCTAGATTCAAGTTGGCAATATCACATCACTAATTGATTGTATAAATTAAATTAAATTTGACCCTTTTATTTTTGAAGCAATGTCAGTTGAAGTCATATTATCTTTTCCTTTATATTAAGAATAAAAAAATACTGTTGCTAATCATAAGATATCTACTTCTATATCAAATATTTTTTTTTCTTTTGCAGAAAATATTTTACCATATAGAATCGTATGATAATTCCAAATCAATATCAATCATATAACTAAAATTGATATTGTGTATCCCAAATTTCCTCTGTGTTCCATACTTTTGGGGGGAATATAAGTTATATTTATATGCTTGTATATTTGATTTTTTCTTTATTTTTACATATTGTAAAGTGCTCATAGTAAGGTACTAAATGATGCCAAAAAAAAGGTTTGACCATTAACTAAAAAACCCCACTTTGTACTGATTTTGTACTCAATCTTTTCCGAGATTAGAAATTGAAGCTTTCAAAAGCTAACAAGATTGTAGTTTGTTTGGAAAATCATATTTATTTGATAAATTATAAAACTTTTACCCATAATTATTACTTTGAGTTACATTAGCAAATTTAAGTCTTTGACTGTTTGAAATTTTAATTAAATTCATTGTTCTGAAATTAACATTGAGAAACAGAAAATGAGATAATTTCACACGCCGCCCTTCCGCCAAAAATTCAGTACCTGCTATAGATTTCAAACTCAATTTACCATTTCTTTTTAAAGTTGAACAATTATGAGGAGGAAAGAAAAATCTTATCTTTCTTATCCCTTACGTCTAAATGTATAAGGCATATAAGGAAATATTCTTTGAATATTTCATTTAGTCAGAAACCGGACAAGAATCCCTTCTTAATAGAATGTTAACTTTATAATAACAAAAAAAAAATGACGACATGATAAAAATCCACAGAGATACAACAATTATGTATTCACATTAAGCTACTTGAGATAAAATGCATAACACTAATATAATCCGTCGCCTGCGTAGCAAAGTGGTTAGAGCGTTCGTTCTAGAGCCACGGAGTAAGGGTTGATCCTTACGTCGAGGGTTCGAATCACTCTGTGGGACGTGGAGACCGGTTCTTCGGATGAGACCATATAAACTAAGGTCCCGTGTCGCAGTAGGTGCTGGCACGAAAAAGATTCCTCACTACTAAATGGCCCTGAGTGCCGAGTTCAGGTCAAAATTTGCAGCTCTCCACAGGCAAGTGGTGGCGTCTCATATGAGTAAAAAATTTCGAGAGGGACTTTAAACAACAAACAAACAAACAAACTTATATAATCTTCATTCAGGAATGTGGAGAACTATCACGAGTACTATTTTGGTAACATTAGATAATCATATAATACAATCAAGGATTTTTAACCAAATTTAAAATTAAAAATTTCAAATACTTAACCATTTTAATTGAAATAAGATACAGTTTGATGCGATATTGAGACTTACCTCCTGCGCAAGATGATGGAAACTACAATAATTAGGAGTACAAAAATGGCGGCAATCACTCCACCAGCTATAGCAAGTGCTGAAGGCCTTTCTTCTTGTAGTTCTAAAGGCTGAAAAGTTTCAAATCAATGCAGTATAAACACTTTTGCGTTATGTCGCCCTCTAAGGAGAAATTTTGAACTGCGTTCTACTTCTGTGCCATAAATGTTTACCTTATTTGTTATACAATCTCCAGAATGGTGATAACATTTCTGATTGACACAGTCTGTGCTACAATTGTTCCTACAGTTTATACCCCACTTCCTCATTTCACATTCTACAAAAATTCACGTATCATTCCTTGAAAGATTTTTGTTATACATGTATGCTATAAAAGATTTATTTATCTAGAAAAAGAGATCGTTACGGATACCTTTAAAAATAACAATAAAACGCTATAGAGGTTGTTATAATAAAATTTAGATACTGAACTTTTTTTGTATATTCTATCGATATTTATTTTGCAATGGACTTCTTTTTTTTAAATTATTGACTTCTTACGTGTGTTACATAGCAATCCCACGTATCCAGAAGAACACCCCTGTACACAAGAACCATTGACGTGGTCACAGTTTGTATCATTGATACAATGGCCGCAAGTTCCATAACATTTATATCCGTATCTTCCGAGACCACATTCTGTTAAAAAATTGCAATGTGTATTTCACTGCTTTACTCTTTCGAAGAGAAAAAAATGACATATCTTTCTGACTGAACTCTTCTGTGTTTGTTAAAATCATTTGTTGTTTTTGTTTGAAAGCAACTTTTAAACAGCACACAAAATACCTTTCCACAATGAAAATATTATTTTTTGTAAAGTTAAAAAACATATTATAACGATAACTGCATTTTGTGTCTATTTGAGAGCGGTGACTCCTTACCCTTTGAACAGAGGGAACCCTCGTATCCATCCGCACATCCTACTGAACATGTACCAGTAATAAAGTGACACTGTGTATTATTAAGACAATGACCACAGGTTTGGTTGCAGTTTTTTCCATACATTCCACCATCACATTCTTGTAAAAAAAAGAAAGTTGTGATATTTAAGGGGGCCGACTGGAGTTTTCATTGCGCAATACTTTGCGCAGCCTAGTAAAATTTACTCTCTTAAAGCAACCATTTTTACAAAATTTATAACAATTAACAAATTTAGGAAATGTCAGATTAAAAAATTAAATTACGTTTTTAAATAACTGATTTTTTTAACCATTAAAATGATGGGTAGATAGACATCGTAATAGTGTATTTTTGACGTTATGAATAACCAACGTTTTTTTAAGCCGGGTCATTAATTATGTCTTAGAATAAAAAGTATACAAAAGATGATCCTGAAATTTTAAACATACGAAATTGAGAATCTCACAATCATTTTTTTTATGTAAATTTATGGTACTTTACGTTTTGGTGTACTCCGTAAAATAGGAAAATATCAAGAATTTTGACATTTTAGATGCCCCCTCTGGAAACCAGACGTTAGAATTTTTGTGTTCGTTGCATAAAATGTACAATTTAGTTTTACCCATCAAATAATATAATTTGAGTAAAAAGTCTATAGTAGCATTTGTATATTTTGCTCCGAAGTGCGAAAATATGGTATTTTCCTATATAATCCTATAGTAAATGTATCTGTATTTTGAGATGGTCCCTAAAAATAACAAATAGACGGTAGATTTTCACTAAACATGGCATATATACATGTACTTAAGTCAATGTTAGGTACATATAGTATAAAACTTAAGAGTTTCTCTATAGTAGTTTTCACACAATAAAACCCCAGTTGGCTCCCTTAAATGCATTGTCTTTTTATCTCCCACGGTAAATATTCGAGGTGATCCCGATACAGGTAACAGAGAATGGTTTAATAACTACCGGTATGTTATTGTCACCTGTTGAAAAATAAACTTCACAGTCAAAGAAGGTCCCAATTGTATTTTTACATGGTTATTTATTTAATTTTCAACAATGATATTACAGAAATGGTGTGATCGATTGATTGTATGTTGTTTTACGTCCCATTCGAGAATTTTTCACTTATATAGAGACATCACCACATACCGGTGAAGGGCTTGAAATTTTGACCTTTACTCGGCACTCAGGGCTATTGAGCAGTGAGGGATCTTTATCGTGTCAACGCCTGCCGTGACACGGGGCCTCAGTTTTTGAGGTTTCATCCGAAGGACCCGCAACTTTCACCTCAAAGTGCCCAGCGCATGGCGAAGGAACAGTGCTACCCATTTTTTATCGACTTAGGTCAGTCGCGGCCGAGATTCGAAATCTCGACCTCCCGATCACGGAACGAGCGCTCTACCGACGGAGCTACCGTGAAGGGTTTTCTTTAAGCAAATTGTTTGAATTTTTTCTTCTCATTAGACAAAATGTCCTGTTGTTTTTTCTAAACATCCTGACAATATTTAACCTTTCTGGGTTTTAAAAATTTCAGTTTAGCGTTATCCCAATAAATTTAGAAAATATGTTAGACAAAAAAAATAATGAGACAATATTTTTTAATGCAAAATTCTTAGGGAATGATCATCAATGTCTATATTATAAAAATCTATTTCTCTCTATGTATCTTAAAAACCAGAAGTCTCTGACCAGCTCTACCTGTTTGTACTTATAACAAAGGAAAAGTACCACTGTCTTGGATTTGAAACTATGCAACAGCAATAAATAGAACATGATCCTTTGTAAAGTCTCGAAGTCAAAAATTATGAACATATATCAGAGTGTAATCTATCTAATCCAGGTTAAATTGAATTCTAATGCAATTGTTTTGTATAACGCATTTTGAATGGCTAATGAACTGAAGATTGAGGTAGTTAGACAAGTTATAACGAGTGTGAAAGCTTGTGATAGTGACGCCATAATAGAAAAACGCAGAAACACAACCCTTCACGACGTATTTCATATAACAAATTGCAACAAAAGAAGACGTATACATGAAACAAAAAGCATAATTGCATTCGTTTGTGAATAACTATTTCTTATTTGTAATTCTTAATTTGCAACCTTTAACACAGCATTAACGGTTGCAAATTACATATGAGAAGGTACTTATTCCCTAAATCAGACCAAAACTGTAGAAGTAGCGTTTTGAAAGCATTTCGCAGAAATTTGTTTTTGGTAACCATAGCAACACCGCTTATTGAAATCAAAATTCGATCAACAGAATATTGTACCTAGTATATTCTATCTGTGTGCCAAGTTATATTGATATCAGACCAAAACTGTAGGAATAGCCTTTTAAAAGTATTTCACAAAAAATTCTGATTTAGTAACCAAGGCAATACTGTTCATTGAAATCAAAATTCGAAGTGTAGTCTATTTGTGTGCCAGATTATATTGATACCAGACCAAAACTATAGGAGGAATAGACTTTATATTGATACCAGACCAAAACTATAGGAGGAATAGACTTTGAAGTTGAAAGAATTCCACATACATTTTATTTTTAGTAACCATGTTTATCGAAATTAAAAACCCATAAAGACATTTAGGTATCTAAGTGTAGTTTACTCGTGTGCCAAGTTATATTGAAAGTAGCATTTTTAAAAAATTGCTTACATACTGACAGACAGACAGACAGACGGACATCGGACACCTAACTATCGCATAAGCTTTTCTGGTCTCTGACCAGTATAGCTAAAAAAACTGAATGAAAATATGGACTTTTAGAGAATCAGTAACACAATGGATTTTTATATTTTCGTTTCTGAATACAGATGTAGAATTTATTTGTACCTATTTACCTTCAGTACAAGGAAATCCTTTGTAGCCAGTGGAACATCCTTGTAAACAAGTACCGTTAACATGATGACATTGTGTATCATTCAGACAATGACCACAGGTGTGACTGCAGTTAGCACCATACATTCCAATGTCACATTCTAAGATATAATCAGAGAAAATACAATATGAAAATATCTTGTTATGTGCGGTTTTTTTTTTCAAACACGTGATTCCATTCATCTTTCACAAAATAGACACTACAGAGATTATATTTTACTTTCAATTTGTATGACAAACATAGCTTTATTAATGTCAGAAATTGGCAATGAATCTTTTATTAATAAAAAATTACTTACCACTGTCACAAAGGGAACCCATATATCCAGGAGAACATCCTTGTAGACATGTACCTTCTATATGGTGACAAGATGTTCCATCACGACAGTATCCACAGAGTCTTTTGCATTTCAAGCCATATTTTCCAACATCACATTCTTTCAAAGTATATCAATACTTCTATGAGCCTTTTTTGTTATTTTGTTTGTTTCCATGCATTGAGTTAAAGAATTATACACTGGTACAATTAAATTTATGTATTTCACTCAATCCTAGACACAACTGCATTTTTTTAAAGAATGAACTAAATGGATTGTAAGATATAAGTGTATACACGTATACTTATGCAATTTACAGGAGTATCAATTTGCAGGTTCGCTTAAATTTATATCAAATTTGTAATATTTCTTACTTTTCACACAAAGAGATCCCTCATATCCCGCAGAACATCCTTCTTTACATGTACCGTTTATATGGTGACACTGTCTGTTACCAAGACAATGACCACACGTTTTACTGCAATCAGTTCCGTACAATCCACCCTCACATTCTTAAAGATGATTATGATATATTTGCCAGTAATTGTATAATTGTATTGTCTATATACTTGTATAAGAAGCGTGTTTATTAAATATCAATCCATGCATTGTAAGCAATGTATAGTTATTGATCTGTATATATATATCATATTTCGCTAGTGGGAACGATATTGACCACTGAATTCTGTTGTAACAAAAAGCTTAACCCTAAACTTTTTTTCGTAAAACAGAAGACTTGAGTCTTGAGGTGATGTTTTAAAAGAAATACTAAGAAAATGAAATTGGTATCAGCTTTGTTGTGAGACCCTTAGATTATTAATTTATTTATGTGCCTCTCCCTGTTCTCTGTCTAAATACCCTGACTACAGCGAGGTCCTTTATATCCCGGCGTACATGCTAGGCAGTTCCCTGTAGATATATTACACCTTTGTCCAAGACAACTGTTTGGACAAAGTTTGTCACAATATTTTCCGTAATATCTAGAATCAGGGCATCCTGTTTAAAGAAATGAAAATTATTTCAAATCTGACTGTTTCTTAAGCCAAAAAACTTCAAAACTCTGATGATTATTGGTAAAATAGCGGTCATAATATATACAGACATAAAACAATTTTTAAACCCACCATAAACTTCCAATTCACACAATTCATTAAATGCATATTGAGAATAGTATCCAGGATAGGTAACACCAGTTTTCCCACGTTCATTGTAATATATGATATATCTTCCGTCAAATGGGCAGCTTATTGTCTGGTCCTCTTTTGGTGTACGATCCACTTGTTGCAATTCGTGAAAACACAAGGTACCGTTATCCTTAGATGTATCGTTTGAAACATAAACGAAAAATCCAGCAAATCTGTCGTAGAATCTACCAGGACCTAAATAAAATTTAAAAAGAAATAATTATTGTTATTGTACCAGTTTTGAAACCAATCCAATTATCAGTATAGATAATATAAATGTTGTTGGTTTTGTTCATAATTTCAGATTTTTGTTTTGATACGCTTTTACGATTCAGTTCTCGATTCAGCGTGCTTTAATTTTGTTTTCGGAAAAATCAAACTTTTATATTTAAAGATTTCACTATAGCAAGATACAGCTAATTACAAATACTTCATTCTAAACCAGAGATTATAGAAACACCTACCATATACTATGTTTTTTATGCTGTAGTTTTTAGCTGAGTTTTAGCCTGATACAGGTGAAAATGAAAGCAATAACTTTACCATGGAGGAGATTTAGTTTATGAAATCTTAATTTTCATTTCAAAACAATATCGATATCTCTGACATCTGTATTTGATACATCTTATGAAAACACCAAATAACAACATTTAATGTCATTAAAAAACGGACATCATGTCATTCTTGACGACATATCAATTGCAAAGAAAGTTTTTAACAAATAGATATTTGATAGAAGTGAGCCTTTTAAAGGTTTTCGCAATTTTTAGAAACTATTTCACAGATCGTTCTTTCAATATCTTGCACAGTCACTATACAAAATTAAATTATTTTGTGAAATAGAAATCGAAATAATAGTCAATAATTTTATACAGTGAACACAAATGTATAATAATAAGATTAGACCTTGATAGGGAAAAATATTATTTTCCTCCTCCTTAATAAAAGAACATGAGAATGATCACTGCCGAAACACATAATATAACAAGACAAGAAAACAAATTGCTCAAATACATATTCCCTTTTATGAATGCTATAATGCATGTTTCTTACACGTGCACAAATACTATTTCCTCATCACTCTGTAAACAGGGAGATCTCCGAAAAATCTTCACTTGGTCCAAAGAGCAATGGTTTAAATAAAATTTGAAATAACCCTTACACACAAGGATTTTTCCTAAGGATGTAAACCAATTTTGAGTAAATCATTTACAAAAAAACGCAGACCTTGTCTAAAACATCCTGAGGCATCCTTGTGAAAGACTGCGAAATGCCTGTTTTTAAATTAAACAAATACTAAACCCTTTGCAATTATTCCTCAAATAAGGAAGAAGTATACTTAACATTACTGGCATTCACAAATAACAATACTACACAGAAGACACACTTACTAGGGTCATTCTCTGTTCTATAGTAGATGTTAATATAACTGATGCTGACCACACTCCCTAGATCCACTCTCCATGTAGCTGTGCTTTTTTTGTCTGCTGATATTGTACACTGATTTCCTCCAGCTGCCCGGTTAGAATATTGTCCGTCGACTGCCTTGCCAGCATTCCAAGCTTGCGAATACCCATACGCCTGCCAGGCAGGTCTTTGCAATGCTAAATTAACTAGTGAATAATGTTCATTATTAAAAAAAAATAGAAAAAAATGGATTTGCTGCTGTCCTTCACAACTCAGTGATCTTAATATTTGGGAAATCAAGAATACTTTAAGGATAGAATACAGGGAAAGACTTACAATAACTACAGTGCGGACCTTGATATCCTGGATTACAACCATTCACACAGTTACCAGTAACGGCGTCACACTGACGTCCCTGACAGTTTTCAGAACATGACTGGTTACAATGTACTCCATATTTTCCAGGAACATGGCACCCTATTTTTCAATTAATAATAAACTTTGGCTTTTGGTGTATCTGACTTAATATAGTTTTACACTTTTATAAATTATCCACCAACACGTAGAACGCAACATTCAAAAAGGAATTACAAATGCTATTTTTTTTTAATAAACATGCAAGATATACAAAAATATATATAATTCAGCTCACCATAGACCTCCAATTCACATAATTCATTATATGCATAATTAGAGTAGTAATTAGGATACGTCACACCAGCTTTCCTTTCGTTGTAGTATATAACATATTGTCCATAAACAGAGCAGTTTATCCTCTGATCTTCTATAGGTGTACCACTGATATTCTGTATCTCATGGAAGCATAGATGACCGTCTTCTTTTGCGGTCGTGTTGGAAACATATAGGAAAAACCCTGCAAATCGACTAACGTATACGCTAGGACCTACAATGATATAAAAATAAGATACATTAAACATAGGCCATTGTATCCATGTGAGTCATATTTGTTTTTTCTTGCAATGAATATGATGAATGAATCCTCGTACCATAGCCTTCAACTATTACATGTATCTATAGAATTCATTATTTTAATACAAATAAGGGATTGGAGTTAAACGTTTTAGTGTACACACACAATAAAATGATAGTTTTTTGTAGTTTTTGGGAAGTTTGTCGATTACTGTGTTGTCCTCTCGCTTTTATGGATGAGCATAAACAAGAAAGTGAGCAAAACAAACGCAGCTATGTTAAGGCTTCCCGAAGCTTTAAAATGTGCTCAAAACATAGTATGTCATTGCGAGGTCGGTTTTGGTTTTAATTTATAAGTATTGAACTTTAGTACTTCCAATTTATATAGAGGGTTTCCTCAGCTATATATTAACATATTTGTAATGATATCACAAGACTTTGTTGATCACGTGACGGTCATTTATAATTTTTGGAAGTGTTTCATATAAATCGCTTCGGCGCAACTGATTAACTCAATAATTATTAACATTTTGTTATATAAATAAACTCATCGTATCCTTTCGTATCCGAAATGTGCTTGGGAAAAGTTATAGTATTACTTGGGTACAAAATATTTCGTGAGAAATTCAGCTTACCTACAAATTTGAGGGTATTTTCCACACAATATCGTAATCTGTATTTAAACAAAGCCAACACACATTTTTCCCAAGCAAGATTCAGTTAGAGAACAACATCTTCTTACAGATTTCCACAAATATTCTCAAATTAATCCTCATTAATCACCTGCGCCAGACTCTTTTATACACACAAAATAAATTCTACCTCCAACAACGGATATAAAACAGAGTACATTTCAAAAGTATATTTTTCATAAGCATTTTGAACATGCGGAATTTCAATCAAGGGTAGGTAAGCAGTGTATTTTAAAAATAATCGGACATATAAGACTTAGAGAACCTTTAACGACCCGTGAATTTTGCAATAGCTAGCGAGCATTTTACATGTAGTTTGAAATAAAGTGTAAAGTTCATGACACTCTCCCCGTCATAACACCTCAAGTTTGCAGTGACTTGACGTCATTTTCCATTATGACGTCATATTCTGGTAGTTCAGAGATGTGAAGGCACAGGGTGCACTGTGATATTTCTTCGGGAAGCCTTAACCTACCTGCGAAGTTTTTGGAGATAAGTATGAAAAGTTGGGGCTGCACATTTCCTAAGTAGATATATGTTTTATTTTCGCCCTCATCGCAGTTTGAGGGAATTTACAACGGGGAGAATTCAAAGAACAAGGGAGTTATATGTCTAACATATTTTGTCGTTTAGAGGTACGATAGGGTGAAAATAACACTAGGCGAAAATTCAAACTGGAACCCCAGAGGATATATGACTTCAACAAAATAGAAACATTACACGCATGGGAATGTCAACATGCATACTTATGAAACAACTGTGCCATATTGTCATGGTGCCAGTCAATACAAATTTTATAGACTTGATGAACAGAAATTCCTCATTATAATCTTGCAAACAGTTTAGTTGCTGACCTTAAAAATTGGAATCCTTGAAAGACGGAGAAAAAAGACAGACAGTGAAAGTGATAGAGATTAGCTAACTGTCCACCCTCGTGATAAATTAATTCTTTCTCTGACCTGATATAATTCGTAGCACATAAGTGACTTTACTGTAATCTTTTGGACCTTGAAAAGTATTTACATAATTACGAAATTCTGCACAACCACGGTTATCTTTAGTTGGACTTGTACATATATATAGAGCTGCAAGATCATATATGACTTCCTATCTTACCTAATAAAAGATTGAGTTTTGAATTTGTTTTAATTCTCTCAGCTTCATTACAACTTTCGTGTCATAAAACGCCTACCATATTCAAAAATCTGGAAAAACCAGAATGGATATATTTCCCAACTTTTGATGAGACAGAACAAAACGATTATCTGAGGTATTCATTTCAAAGAAACATTTATAGATGTCTTCTTGGACATCCATCTGATATCCATGAACACAAATTATATATTCAAATAATTTAATATACATACTTTGAAGATTATCAGTTCTGTAGTAGATCTTGACATAACTAATGCTGACAACACTCTGTAGATTCACCCACCATGTCGCCGTACGTTGTTCGTTTCCCGAGATCGTGCATTTGTTTCCATTAGCTCCACGCTTGGCATAAAACCCATCCACCGCTTTTGAGGCACCCCATTCTATAGATTTACCGGTAAAATTGTACGCCTGCCAAGCAGGTCTCTCTAATGCTAAATTTCCTATAAAATAAATAATACGCGCATTACTGATACAAACATTGCAAAAAGACACTTATTGATAAAGATTCAGTGTTATGTGATGTTAAACGAACCTGTTTTAGGAGACAAGAGCTGAATTTTATTAAGTGGTACATTTACATATAATGAATTTTAAAGCCATATTTGACTTTAAAAGATTTATTATCGAAATTGGACGTATTTCATGAAAGGTGTTGAGGATTAAACAAAAACAAAAATGAATACATGTACCTTCAATACATGTATAACATTTCAGATTCCTGGCTATTGTGTCGTCCGAGAAAAGTTTGAAAAAGTTGGAATCCCCTTTTCAATACAACTAGACCGTTCACGATAGCTAAGTCGGTCTACCGTAATGAAATTTTGATTTATTATTGTGAATACAACCGTGGAATTATTTTTGAATTCCCATTCTTGACATTGTATGAAATTTCATGATCAGTATTCATAAAAGCTTCAGAGAACTTTTTATAAACCGTACCTCTTCCCTAATAAAAATGTAAAAGAAATTAAATTTAATGCGAGGTTGCCTCTCGCGCCTATAGACTGATACATAAACAAGATATATTCAAACGTATTTAAATTTCATGCTTGTGTAGTGTTAGTTTTTTTTTATGGAGAAAGTTAATACTTGTAAACTATTAAATGAAATTTTGCTCATTTAGAACCCAAATACCTGCTCCATCAGCTTCAGTAAACGTGTATTTTCTTAATTTATAAATTAAGATGTTGCATTTGAATAAAATAATAAGATATACAACAATCCACCCCCCACCCCAAAGAAAAACGAGCAAAATGAGCAACAAACTGTAATGAAATATTTGATAACCAATAGTGAAACGTTTAAACTTTGATTTACTACAGTGAAAACGTTTCAACGCGTTGATTTACTATAGTAAAATCTTTGAAAATTTAACTATAGTGAAAACTTTGATACTTTGATTTACTATAGTAAAAAACTGAATCTTTGATGTACTATAATAGTAATAACTGAAACTTTGATTAACTATAGTAAAAATTTTGAAACTTTCCTTATCTATTGTTATCTATAGTAAACTTTAGTTAACTATAGTTTACCATAGTAATTTTTTGTTAGGGTATTAGTGGAGTAAAAGTGACCAAGGAAATTATGTGTAAAAACATATGTGTTAATCCGGGACAAATCGTAGACAATGATCAAAATGCCTCCGGCCAGTTTGAACTTACGGGTGTCATAGGACTTCAGAATTAAACACCCGAGTAAACATTTATCTCCTGGACAATACAAATATTTGATTAAATAATTGATAAATAGTTTCTTGTAAATATGTAAATTGTACGTAAATTGTATGTTAATTGCTGTTTTGTACATATTAGACAGTTATCGACTGGCCTTCGCTAAGACAGCCACACTGGACAGCACGCTGGACAGCGCTCTTGTCCGCTATATGGCAGAGCCTGTCCACATTGTTAATAAATTGTTATTGCCGTATATTTGGAGTTCCGTCCTTTATATTTATCTGCAAGATTGAATGCACAATTTAGACGGTTATATAAATATGAATTTCTAGTGCAGGCGTTTCGGAGTTTATTTACAAATTTCATTAATTCATAAGTTAAAGCTGACATGAACTCTTAAAAATGTGATATTTTCATCCTTGCACGACTTATTTCATTCCCGTACTCCTTTTTCCGCCATATTTCTTCCGGATTCGCTCACTTATTTTACCGGCTATATAAACCCGAATGCCTTTTTTACACTTGAGTGATTTTCTAGCCTGACTGTCGGAATGTACACATCTCCGATAGCAAAGTTTTGGAACACGTCATGAACTGACCGAAAACATGTAGGCCTGTACACATCTCCGATAAAGCAGTTTTGGAACATGCAATAAATCTAACAATCCTACCAAAAACTAGGAATTTTACTGAAAACTGGAAATGAGTATATAAATTTTGAATAATTTTGATGCAATGCATAAAAATCAAAACGGCAAATGCATGTTTGATATACATGATAACATATATATTTGAACAATAAAGAAGCTACCACATGCATTTTTTTCCACAAAAAAATCCACTGTACTGTTGAGCTTTATGCATGCTACACGGTATAAGCACATACTATGCAACTTACGCATTGAAGTAATACATGCATGCATGCATGCCGAGAAAACGCGTCGAACGCTTTTTACTCATCTGCCTGAAATACAGCTATCGCTACAGGGATGTGCACATGTCGAAAGAATTACTTCCTATTTTCCTTTTATTGAAATATGCATCACAGAAGTAATAACTCCATTTGTAACTCAATGGTAAACAAATTGTCACTAGCACTTGAACACACGTGGTCCCTGCCAATCAGCATTTTTGGTCAGGGAAAATATCGAAGGTGGAAAAGACACTGGTATTTTCCTGATTAGACAATATAGTCACGCAAATAAAACGTTTCAGAAATCAAACTAACTGTTGTCGGTACATGTAGTAAATATGTTCGTGAATGTGGCTTCATTACAACAAATTTATTACATAAACATACATTCTTGTTACGGATCTTACATCTTTTAAAGAAAATGAAAAGGGGGGGGGGGTAAGTAGAATACATTTTTCAATATATTTTAAACAAACGTCGGGAAAAGGTCGGATTTTCCTTAATCAAATATATTTAAATACTTGCAATTAACTGGCCTCAACTATATTAGATATAAAACTGATATATCTTAAATTAACACATACTCAACAATTTGTTTCTGTAGACATTTTCAAATCAGGACAATTTTAGGCGTCACAAATTACAAGCACGATTGATACAATGGTGTGCTCCCATTTCGCCTTAACTGTGAAATATAGGAATTAAAAATGTGAAAAAGTTCTGAGGCGAAGTGGGAATTTGATTATTTCTTTGTAATAACAATAACTGTAAATTAATTAGATGTTTGTTTTACCGATAAGTTAATTACACAGTTAAAAAAGAAATATTTTCGATGTAAAATGGAAAAAATAGTAATGTGTAAATATTGTACAATTACCTACAAGCACAAACATAATTATGTGTATATAAATAATCTACAGTATATGTTTTTGTATATATTGAAGTTGAGTAAGTATTACACTATTAGAATATGTGAAAGTAATATTGATAATTGAAATAGTTCTACCGTGTATCCAAATGTGAAGTGGTGTGATTCAACAATCTTCGCGCGCATTGCCAAAGATATCACGAGGCGATGCAAAAGCAATTATTATTACATTACATAAGTTTTTTTTAACAACTACACATATTTACACGTTTTAGATATTTAAAGAAATTTTGTGATGTGACTGAATGATTAAAATATGGTTGCGTGCATGTGTATTATTTCTTCAAATATTATATAATAGTCAAAGTTTATAGGAAAGGAAAACAATGTGCCCCTGACAGTGTCCACCCCCCCCCCCCCCACACACACACACACACAAAACATTTTGATATTGGTTATTTTTTTCCTTGTTTAAAAAAATTTCTGGTAGGAACCCTCTGTGCTCTTCGAAGGTGTAAAGAAACAAAAATACTGAGTTTGTTTCTTCTGGAAAGTACATGAGAAGAGTCCACATGTTTCCATTCCCGTGATATATAGTTTTCACAATTGTTTTTGTTCCCTTTTCGTTTGGGTGTGTAGTTTTTTTCCTTTTCTTTTCCTTTTCTATTTGGCTTGTCAAAAAAGGAGACAATTTTTTCAGCAGGTTTGATCCACCCTGCCCCAGAAAAATTCCTCAATCTGCCCTTATAAAGACTATATCATTTCCCATGATTTTTACTACATCGGATTTTATATGCATTATTACTCTTACATGTATGAATACTTACACATAAGAGAAAGAGAGAGAGTATACTTGTATTGAAAATGCATAAAATATTTATAATCTTGCGGTTTAGGTTTTCAGTGATCCTTATACTATTTTTTAAGATTTTCTCAAAATACAAGAAATTGAATAGGTACCAAATTTTAGACTACCTGCAGAAACTCTCCAAACTGGAAAGACTTTCTATACATGCATATAAAACAGGCACGTAGCACCGTTTCTCAAAGTGTGTGTATGCGAGGGGGAGCGGGGGCAGTAAAATGATTGACAAGCAAAAGAAAAACTTTATGCACTTAAAAATTGGGGGAAGTGACGGAGAAAAACAGGCATTTAAAAAATCCGTAGTCAAGGGATTCCATTCATCATTTTTGGCAGAAAAATATTTGAGTACAATGTACAATAATGTTGGATAAGAGTTGGGGGGGGGGGGGGGCAGCCAGTCTTAAAATAAAAAAATCCCTGTCGAACGCGTGGGTGGGGGATGCCCCCTTTTTCCGAGCATAATGTTTTACTGTTTAGTATGAAATACACACTCAAATGCTGAACTCCTTCACTTTTTGTTGCACTATAGTCAAATCCTCAAAAAAGTTGCCCTCCCCCCCCCATAAAATGGGATTTTGGAGATTTTTTTTATATTTTATTTTTTTTTAATTTATTTTTTTATTATTATAACTTTTATTATTAATTTTTTTTTTTTTTTTTTTTTTTTTTTTTTTTTTTTTTTTTTGCTTGCCAAAGATTTTTCAGGTAAAATGACCATTATTTCTTAGATGCTACGTGCCTGAAATCAGCAATCAGACATTTTTTTTAAGTGATGTCTTATTTTTTACCCAGTCGCGCAAATACTAATTCCCTTTTTTACTTTTGATATTTTCCCTGACCAAAATCTGATCAGCACGGACTAAGCGTATTCGAGTGCTAGGTTGTACGATGAAGTGACAACGTGTTTACTGTTGAGCATTTATGGAGTTTATTACTTTTTGTGATGCATATTTCAATAAATGGAATACAAGGTGTAAATTATTCGGCATGTGCACATCTTCGAACGGGTACAGTGGTCTATTTCCAGGTATGAATAAGTTTACAGTGTTCGACGTGTTCTCTCGATATGCATCAATTGTATTTGAATGCATATGGACATGCATAGGAAATACGCTGGTGGAGTGGTGGTTTGTTCCATTCTTACGATAGAGTATTGGAAATTGTTTGTACGAGTTTTACTGTGTATTATTTCAAGTTTATTATGCATATATTGGTATGCTTTTAAAAAACAACGCGCAACTATGTTTTTTCTTCCAAACTTGCATTTATGTTATTCAAAACGATAATTATTCATAATTATCGTTATGACTGTTTTTATCTGTTCTGGTTTTAAAATTTTTTTATCAATTCATGTGTTCCCAAATACTTTACTATCGGAGATGTGCACGCGTCGATAGCCGAACCAAAAATTCACTCAAGTGTAACGAGGGCATTGTGGTATATATCGTTACAACAAGACAAGGTATCTGAAAGAAATATGGCGGAATAGTTGGTATGAAACAAGTCGTACATTGATGCAAATGTTGCGTTTTTAAGAATTCATGTCAGCTTTAACATGTTTTTTTTTTATTCAACTGTAACGCAAATTGTTTTTTTTTTTCAGAGAATGCAGAAAACATTTCTGTTTTTGTATCTTGTATCTTTCCACTACTTCTGTTATTAAAAGATTTCTTTGTATCTCAGTACCAATTGCAACGTTGAAATATTTGCTACTATTATGACCAACAAATAAGGTGTACGGACAACTGATTCCTGGTCTTGCAGATTTTTGTGTTTTAGTTGTATTGATTGATAGCTTTACGTCCCACTTGAGAATTTTTCAAGCATAAAGGCGTCACCATATACCGGTGAAGGGCTTCAAATTTAGACCTTTACTCGGCACTCAGGGCCATTGACCAGTAAGGGTTCTTTATCGTGCCAACGCCTGCCATGACACGGGCCTCGGTTTTAAGGTCACATCCGAAAGACCCGCAACTTTCACTCAAAAGTGCCGAGCGCTTGGCGAAGGAACAGTTGCTACCTATTTTTTTTATCGACTTAGATCAGTTGCGGCCGAGATGCGAGCTGGCGACCTCCGGATCATGGAGCGAGCGCTCTACCGACTGAGCTACCGTGACGGTCTCGCCTATTCGAAGTAGACTTTATAATAATATGCAATCGATGCATGAACTTATTACTAATATTAATGTTTACACAGTTTGTGCCCTGTTCACACGGATAGTTTAATTCGAATTAAACGCAAGTTACTGCGATTTAAATTTGAACCGTGTTCACAAGGAGAATTTTATGCGAATTGGTTTAATTCGAATTAATTTACTGCGCATCAAAATACTTCGCATTAAATCCATGTGAATGCTAAGCGAAGCTAATTCGAATTAAATTTTGACGCAAGCGTAATAGCAAAATTAAGCCACATGCCATGTGTCGGTGGTAAGATTTAAGTACTATATTTGAGTTAAAAAAAAAACGAAGGAAAATCAAGTTTATCACTAAAATGTGTACAGAACTATGACATCATGTCAGATGTACATCTGCTGCAGAGATGACGTGATTTACAAATGACGTTTTATTTCCTTTACTGTTGAAACAAATTTCTAATGCGCATTAGTTTACTTCGCATTAGCTGTAGTGTAAAGGCAATTTAATTGGCATTACTGTACTTCGAATAAATTTACTGCGAGTTAAATATTTAACGAGCATCTGTGTGAACAGGGCATAAGATTATTTACGAAAGGCATCGAATCCGTCATTTATCTATTATAAAATACAGGTAGATATAAAGGGCAGAAAACTTAAAAGTTACAGCTTTTTACATGCGCAATCCAGACCTATGCAAGAGTCGCGAAATATTTTAGCGCATTTTACGTCATTTGAACTGTGACAGTATTGTGCTCAATTCTGAAGGCAATCAAGGGTTCTGTGCACGTCACATGTCTTAAGGGGAAAAAGAACCTAGAGCTGAAAAAATTCTTATTCAATTTTTTTTCCATATTTTGTATATTTCTAATTAAGTATGTCCCACATATCTTAAAGCAGTTATATCATTAGGTTTCTTACCCTATTTTAGAGATATTGATTGACAAATACTACGCCCTACAGTATCTTAGTGGAGTTTTAGTTGTCCATGTTTCAGGGCCCATTACTCTGTCCATAATGGGATTTTTTAAGCATAGATAAACAAGATGTGTTTATGAAACACTGATGCCCCCGTATGGCAGCTTATGGCAAATGTTAAAGTTTCTCAAATGCAAGTCAAAATCCAGGCCAAAAGATAAAAAATGTTAAATTTGAAAGCCCTAGCATCAACCATTCAAAAGTTATGGCCAAGGTTAAAGTTTTACAAAAGTAGGTCAAACTCCTAGGTCAAGGTCAAAAGGTCAAAGTGGTGGGTATCCAAAGGAAGGTCTTGTCACAAGGATTACATATGTGAAGTATGAAAGCCCTAGCTCTAACCGTTCAAAAGTTATGGCCAAGGTTAAAGTTTTACAAAAGTAGGTCAAACTCCTAGGTCAAGGTCAAAAGGTCAAAGTGGTGGGTATCCAAAGGAAGGTCTTGTCACAAGGATTACATATGTGAAGAATGAAAACCCTAGCTCTAACCGTTCAAAAGTTATGGCGAAGGTTAAAGTTTTTAAAAAGTAGGTCAAACTCCTAGGTCAAGGTCAAAGTGGTTGGTATCCAAAGGAAGGTCTTGTCACAAGGATTACATATGTGAAGTATGAAAGCCCTAGTTCTAACCGTTCAAAAGTTATGGCCAAGGTTAAAGTTTTTCAAAAGTAGGTCAAACTCCAAGGTCAGAAGGTCAAAGTTGTTGGTATCCAAAGGAAGGCCTTGTCACAAAGAATACACGTGTGAAGTTTGAAACCTTAAGCACCAACTGTTCAGAAGTTATGGCCAAGGTTAAAGTCTCATAAAATTTTGCAAAAGTGGGTCAAACTCCAAGGTGAAGGTCAAAAGGTCAAATATGATGGTACCCAAAGAAAGGTTTTGTCACAGGGAATACACATGTGAAATATGAAAGTCATAGCTTCAGCCAATCAAAAGTTATGGGCAAGGTTAAAGTTGACAAAAGACAGACAGACAAACAGATAAACAGACAGGACAAAACAATATATCCCCGGGATATTTCGATCCCGGGGCATAAAAATATGTAAGCGGACATGTATCTTTTAAAATATTTCAGAGTATGAATAGTGTTTATAATTCGAAAAAGCAAGTTTCTTCTATCACACTGCATCTGGATGGGGAAAATTACGTACTTTTTCAGACAACTCAAACAACAAAAAACTTAATTTGCCAAAATTTATATCAGTCAATATTTTAAAATTTACGTTGAAATGCAAGTCCTTCATATTTTTGATTAACTGTAAAAAAAAATTGAATGGTGAAGCTGACCTCAATATTGCACAGGACATCGTTAAAGAAGCCATAAGCATGACAAAAATGTGTCATGTTTACATTTCTCGAGTATGGAAAAAAAACAACTATGACGTCACGCGTAAGCTAAATAAGCGAAATAAGATATACCTACATAAGATTTCCGTCATCAGCCATGCAAAAATAATTTTTGTGTTCCCCGGTTCTCAAAATATTTCATCATATACTGATTATGACCTATTTTTACATAATAATACCACCCCTGTATTCACCGAGTATGATCTTGCTGTACTAACAGATCGTCACCAACTAGTTGGACGTGCAATTTAAGATAACAGAGGTGTAGAACAATCTATTTCATAATTTGTTAACATTTACAAGAATGTTTAAACTTTTTATTTTTTTTTTAAATAAGATGTAAATAAAAGTAAAACAAATTGTCAAAAATGTATACAGAACTGATGGTTTACACGTTTTGCACTATATAGACGTAGACTATGTCGTAGTTAAACAGTCATGTGACCATGTGTCCTTCTTCCCCTTAGGCAACGCTTCTTGAAAATGTCAATGAAAAATATTCGAAAATTTATTATACCAAAGTCTGTATGTAATTATGTATGTACATGTGCTACACTGACATTATATCATGCTAAAGATATTGACTAAAGCGCGGCTTATAATACATTATCTGTACAAAATATAAAATAAGAAACATGCAATGTATTCCAGGCTTTTTTTCCTAAACGTTTTTTAACTTACCAACGCCACAAGCAGATGTCACACACAAGAGAAACTGGACAAGGCTTAGAATCAACATCTCCACCCTGAAAAAATAACAAATACCTTAATATGACATAAATGAATCCTCAATTCAGATAAACCGTCACGGATGCTCAGTCGGTCTAGCGCTCACTCCGTGATCGGAAGGTCGTATGTCCGAATCACGGCCGCGACTGACCTAAGTAGATAACTATGGGTACATGTAGCAACTGTTCCTTCACCAAGCGCTCGGCACTTTGAAGTGGAAGTTGGGGGGTCTTTCGGATGAGACCTTAAGAACCGAGTCCCCGTGTCACGGTAGGCGTTGGCACGAAAAAGAACCTGAGTGCCGAGTAAAGGTCTAGATTTGAAGCCCTTCACCGGTATATGGTAATGTCTCTTTATGCGTGAAAAATTCTCGAATGGGACGTAAAAGAACAATCAATCAATCAATCAATTCAGATAAACGATACGTTGGACGTTTGTAGTTTAAAATCAAGGACTTTCATGCTTCGAGTATATTCAATGGAATCTTAGGATATCATCGCATATAATTTATTGAAAAAAATGAGATTTTTTTTTTCTTTACAAAAGATTCAGGATTAATGCATGTCCATTTCGATTGTATTCAGTACACTGACTTTTACAATTCGATAGAGATTCTAAGAATAAAAAAATTCTGTTTTAACATTGTATATATCAATTTTTGGACAAAAATTGGTTAAATTTCTACATTTGAATTTCGAAGCATTTTAATACAAAATATTTATTTCATATAAGTATTGCTTTATTAAAAGATTAATCTTATTCAGTTGCGTATCTTCATCAAAAAACAAATAACAGGCAAAATAATACAGGTTACTTTCAATTCAAGGAACCTAAAAAATTCATGAGATAGAGGAGTTTTCAAGATCAAAAGAGGAATGGAATTCAGAATTTTCAGGTCTGACCATAATGTTTCTGTTTTTACGTTTACCGGAAGTGTCTGTTGAAAACACTCTTGGACGTTTTCAATAGTAGTTTACTGTCAGTTGATTTCAACAACAAATGTTACATCTTAAATGGATACGAAAAATCGTTCCGCTTCATTTTTTGTATTTGTTCTCACTTCATAACTTCGCTTAGTTGGTAATGGTGCCAAATTAAATTCTGAAAAGCACACCAGATGCCCCACAAGTTCACAAGGTTCTCCGCCGGAGTGGTCGATATCGCTTTTCAGTTCTTGAAATAGGAATTTTGCGCAATAGTTGCTGTACGTGTACATGTACTTGTATTGCAGAGAAATCGAATGAAGAATTGTAATTATTGACATCCCTCACTATCTATCGAATTAATTGAAATGGAGATAACCAACAGTATTCAAGCTCATAGTCCATATAAACAATACAAATCGGGAGCAGAGCAAACACGGACCTCCATAAACATCAGAAGTACATGTAGGATCAGGTGCAATGGAGGAGTAAACATCCCGTCGACAGGTCACACCTACCGTGTGCTCCGTGTCATGATTTGATAAACGGATAATTCGTAGAAATTTCAGTGTTTAAATAATTGCCTAACAATTTGAATGAAAAAGGTCAGTCAGCATTTGACTTAATGATAGATTGTATTTGCTGATAAGGTCATTGTATCGACCATATAACTTGCAAAAGGATGACTTCAAAAAAGACTTTTGATATCCTTGTTAAAAACTGATCCTACGTAGAGTATGCTCTTGCGCATCGAATCAAATCACCCATATTTAGCTTTCTCTTGTGTAATTGACCAATCAACCAATTATTTAATTATTAACCCTCGGACACACACTAATGTTGTGTCACCTACGCTAGCCCCAGGCATTCGTTCTCCAGGTCCCGGGTTTTTGAGCAGATTCTGTTGTGGACCTCTATTTCTAAATTCGGCTTGTAATTAATTTGGATTCTACAATGTTGATTGAACTATATTCAATTAAATGTGCACGATCAAATTCCGTACGAAAGGCAGTAAGTGAGAAACAATATTTTGAGGCGAAGGGATTTTTTTTTTTAAGGAAATGTTCAGTTTTATATTTTCGATGTATATATGCGCATGTAGTGCATCAAAATTGGTACCGTATAAAACTTACATTTTGACCCCTGGGTCGAGGCCTCTGCTGATGGACTGTTAGTCCCCGAGAGTCTCTACAGCCCAGAAGCTAAGTACTTCTATACTAGCTAGAAAATACGGATATATATTTAATTGCTGTGGAAAAATTTAGAAATTCATTTCAAAATTTAGGATTATCTCCCTCATGCATAGCTCTGATCCTTCATTGTATTTGGCTGCGGTCTTTGGCACCCACTTTTTTCAGCTCTTCCATTTTTTTTTGTCCCAAGCTTTCACGGAAAGTGGGGGATATTAATTTAGGTCTGTCTATCCGTCCATTCGTCCGTCCGTCTGTATTTCTGTCTGTAACACTTTCGTTTCCGCGCGATAGCTCGAGAACCCTTTGAGCTTTCGCAATGATATTTTCCATAGCAACTCCCTATGGCCTAAAGAACCCTATTTATTTTGAGGTGAAAAGGTCAAGGTCATAAATTCTGTCCGTTTTAACACTTTCGTTTCCGCGCGATATCTCGCGAATCCTTTGAGCTTTTGCAATGAAATTTTACGTAACTCTTTGAGGCCTAAAGAAGACTCCTATTGATTTTGTGGTCAAAAGGTCAAAGTTCAAGGTCGTAAATTCATACATTCTGTCTGTGTGTAACACTTTCGTTTCCGGGCGATATCTCAAGAAGCTTATGAGCTTTTGCAATGAATCTTTATACCATAACTCCCTATGGCCTTTCTCGCCCCTCTCATTGTGTCCCGTCCCGTTTTGTTTTTTATTTATTGTATTAAACGTCGCTTGGCACTATTTCTAGCACAGGGACATGTGGAGAGTTATTCGTATATTACAGGTTGTCGGTATACATGATAATTCTAATTGCATCTATTAGAACTGTTCAGTAATAGCTAAATTAGACACCATGTATTGTGTACAAATTTTGACAATATCGAACGTGAATATAAACATTATATGTGATCTAATGTTTGCATTTAATTTGTATATTCAAGTGCCTTCGTGGTATAGGGGTATGATTCTCGCTTAGCAAGTGAGAAGTCCCCGGGTCAAATCCCAGACGATTTTTTTTAAAAATGTTTTTTGTTTGTTTTTTGTTTTTTTTGTTGTTTTTTTTTGGGGGGGGGGTTTACTCAATTATAGTATTCAACATATGAAATGAAGTTATGACGTCTGGCGTGTACAAACTTCTCATAAAATCAATATTACAGTGTGCTAATACTTTATATAAAAAGAATCCTCTATACAAACATTAAAGAATAAGCAATCAGATCTATATTCATGTGTATTTCCTGTGACAAGACCTTCCTCTGGATACCAACAACCTTGACCTTGGAGTTTGAATATTTTTGGGAAAACTTTAACCTTGGCCATAACTTATGAACGGTTGGTGCTTGGGCTTTCATACTTCATATATGTAATCCTTCTGATAAAGCCTTCCTTTGGATACTAACAATTTTGACTCTCTGACCTTGACCTTGGAGTTTGACCAAATTTTGGAAAACTATAACCTTGGACATAAGTTTTGAACAGTCAGTGCTAGGGCTTTCCTATTTAATATGTCTTTTCCTTGTAACAAGTCCCTTCCTTTGGATACCAGCAACAATAGTCCATTGACTTTGACCTTGGAGTTTAACGCACTTTTGAAAAACTTTTAACCTTGGTCATAACTTTTGAACAGTAGATGCTAAAAATTTCCTATTTAATATGTCTATTCCTTGTGACAAGACTTTTCTTTTGATACCAACAATTTTGACCTTGGAGTTTGATTTATGCTTAAAAATTTTTAACCTTGGTCATAACTTTTAAACAGTAGGTGCTAGGACTTTCCTATTTAATATGTCTATTCCTTGTGACAAGACTTTTCTTCTGATACCAACAATTTTGACCCTTTGACCTTGGAGTTTGACCTATTTTTGAAAATTTTTAACTTTGAACATAACTTTTGAACAGGAGGTGCTAGGGTTTTCCTATTTAACATGTGTATTCCTTGTGGCAAGACCTTCCTTTGGACACCAACAATTGTAATCCATTGACCTTTGAGTTTGATCTACTTTTAAAAAAAACTTTAACGTTGGCCTATTAACGTTTGACCTACCTTTGGAAAACTATTGGTGCTACGGCTTTCATATTTCACATGTGTATTTCTTGTGAGAAGGCCTTTCCTTTGGCATCATTAATTTTGACCTTGATATTTGACTTTTGAAACACTTTAACCTTTTTTTATACATATCCAATGGTTGCTGTTAGGGCTTTCTTGTTTCTCAGGTTATTTTCCTCGAGACAAGACCTTACTTTGGGTACCTACATTTTTGATTTCCATTTGAGAAAGTTAAGTTCCATAAGGGGCATCAGTGTTTCACAAACACATCTTGTTTTATACTTACATATCACAGAAGAAAATTATTTTCTATTTTCATGCTCAAAGTGCTAAATAAACCTAGACTTCTAGTTTTGTCCCTACTCCATTATATCTACATTTATTTGCTGTACCATCGGTAAATACAAACGTCAGGTTGATTTCCTTGCTCGATAAGAAAAACATAGGTGTTCACGCGTCTTGAAATGTTAAAAAAAATCCCTTTGTTGGTCATTTAAAGTTAGAAATGTATAAGAGATTGTGTGATGCAAAGTTCTACTCATTCTTCTTATCTTTAAAGCGCTTATGTTCTTTTGCAGAACATGAATGTGGCATAGATAATATTTTATTATGTACTTTAAATCATTTAACATTAAATTTTAAGTCAACAAAGTAACTTACAGCAACTTAGAACAATAGCATTACAAACACTCCAATATCAAGAAGGTTTTGAGAAATGTTTTGTGATGGGTATTTCAATACACAATTTTAGACGGAAAAAAAAACACAGTGTGAGAATATGACTCGTTTATTAGTTCCTTATTTTTTATTCTATTTTGTTTTTTTTTAAAACAGCGAAATTTTTTTCAATTGTTTTCCTCTAAATCTGCTAAATATTCCATTATGGGTTGACTTTAACCATGTGTTTTAAGTAAAAATGAAAAGTAACAGTAAACAGCATACAATGCTATTCATTCAACGGACTGGACGATTTGCTCCTCGTAAAAGAAAAACACTGTAGGTTATAACAACAATGACCACATGTGAAAAAAAAAAAGGTTTGCAATTGTGGTACACAACACATTTTGTCAATCTTAGAGGCAGCTTTGGTGAAAAAGTCGTTATTGAGCTCCAATCTTTGCCATTAATTATCACAGAGTCGAAGTTAATGTCGGATTTCAATGTTCACCCATCCCGTCTTTATTAAAACCATGAACGTCTATCAAAAAGACATGCAAGCACGTTTTTCAAGGTATTTAAAAGAAACAGACTAAAGCAATTCTCTGTAGTGAAGGAAGTAAAAGATTTAAGACAGTCTTACTGAACTGAAATTTCAAGGGACGTGCATTTCAGTAAGACGAAAAGGGCAATTCATGTTTATAATATGTAGCTAGAATTTGTACCGATATTAAGTTTGACATAGTGTTGGTTATTTCTTAGAATTAGTGCACTGTACATAAAATTAATGCATATCAAGAAACATAAAAGTAATAAGCTCAAAACATTGTAAACAGTAAAAATACGGTCAAAAAATTATTATCATACATGTAATTATTTTTCGATTCCATAAGTATGCAAAATACACACCAAGGCAAATTTATTCATCTTCTATCTTTACTTACCATATAATGCAGATATCTTGTTGATATAGGGCACACAAGAATTGGTAACATTTACTTTTTGTTTTATGCAGGGCCGAGAACCAGGAAGTTTATTAAAGGCGAGTTCAGTTAAATGTTCTAAAGTCATTGAATAATGAGCAGTCTATATAAAAGCTTCTTGAGGGCTACGCACTTGTATTCTTTTCAACGGATCCGGTTTCGATAATTTGAGTAAGGTAAAAAAAGTGAAATGGAAAACGTAACACAAATACCTGTACAGGTAAATATGACGTGCCTCGAGTAATACATGACCCCTATGATCCTGAAGTCATTGGTATTAAGTATAGGAGGCAAAAAATTATTCAAACTCGCAATAATTAAAGTCCAGAAGTAACAATTAAGAACAGATTTTTTGCGGAGTTTAAAGCCCATGCACTTCGAAAAAACCCTACCGTTCTAAATTGTAAAAGTACGTGGAAAGTAAAATTCAGTTGAGGAAGTTAAAATGTTATAGGAAAAAAACTTGTTAACATTTAATATAATAAAGATACATGTTAAACATATGTACTATCAACATTATCTACCTCGAAGGAAATATATATGCAGGGCGTCTATTTTTGTATTAAAGTTTAAAACTTAGGTTAAATATAAGTGCCTAAGAAATTATATAACTTTTTTTAAGGATATCATGTGACAAATTATATACCTTGTATAATTGCAAATACATTTTACGCTTGATATTCTGTAGATCTAAACTGTACAGTCCATGACAGATTATACTTTCTCCGGCAATTAATTAAAATTTATTGCAAAATTTCCATGCATGACCAGTTTAATTAAAAATAGTAAACTTTTTAAAAAGCCTGATGTAGAGTTGCAAGATGGAAAATCCAGTGACACTCGAGGAGGTTTCCCCTCATCTTAAAATAAGTTTATTTCTGTCGAGCTCCGGAAACAGATGGATAACGCTGTGACTGGTACACTGTACGGACCACTGTTTATGTCTTAAAAGCCAGATAAGATATAAAGAAGGAAGTATTTTTAAAGTCAAAATCTTATGCAGGTGCATAGAGGAATT